GGCTCTCATTATATTCTTTTATATAAGTATTAAATGTCTCATCCTTTTTAGAAAACGTTTTAAGGAATGTAGAGTAATCTTCGTTGCAATGGGCCAAGTTATTTTCAGAGTCTTTATTTGATTCGTTACAGGAATTTTGTGGGGAGTTTGCGTCTAATGGAATTGAATCAGTGTGTTCGGGATTCAGGCTGAGATCCAGGTCGCCCAGTTCAATGAGTTCTTCGAGAATATCTGATAGATAAACACGTGTCGTATTATCGTCGATGGTGTGTCTTGCCTGGAATAGTGGTGTTGAGAGTAGTGGTGCTTGGTCTAGTGGTGACGGAGTTAGTGTATGCAATTGAGGGAGGGCGGGAGGTGCGCTTCAATCCAGGTAAGACACATCATTTTATATGTTTAGCGGAAAGTTGCAAAGAAATTTATATTTTTATTTTTTATTATAATGGATTTCCGCAAAGTAACGCCTGATTCTATCAATTGTCTGCGTTACTGTTAATTTTGCCCTTTTTGTATTCGACCTCGTAGTCGAACTCTTCTAATTTCAGCCTCCACCTTACTAGTGTGTGTAGTAGTGACCCCGGGTCTTTGCAGTTATATAACCACTTAAGTGGGCGGTGGTCAGTAACAATTTTAAAACGACGGCCATATAGGTATGGCCTAAATACTTTAGTACCGAAAAGAATTGCTAAGCATTCCTTTTCTGTTATACTGTAGTTACACTCGGCTTTATTTAGAGTTCTTGAAGCATAAGCGACTGGTCTATCATTTCCTATGGGACCCTGTGATAATATGGCCGAAATAGCAAAATTTGATGCATCACAGCATAATTGGCAAAATGAGCAACAATTGCGGAAGTCAAACAATTTTTTAGAGTTTCGAAGGCTAATTGTTGCTCATTTTGCCAATTCAAAGGAACATTTTTCTTCAAGAGGTTTGTAAGGGGCTTTGCAATTTTAGATAAGTTTGGTATAAATCTCCGATAGTATGACACTAATTCCATGAAAGATTTGATATCTTTTGGACATCGAGGTTGGGGAAATTTTTGAACAGCTTTAGTTTTCTCTGGATTTGGCTTTACCCCTTCGTTGGTAATGATATTACCAAGGTATGATACTTCCTTTCGGAGAAATTCACACTTATCTGGCTGGAGCTTAAGATTGAAGTGTCGGAGTCTGTCAAAGACGTTAGAAAGATTATTTATGTATGTTTGAAGATCATATGAGTAAATAACGATATAGTCTAGGTAGACAAAGCATGTGGAGTCCTTGTAAGCCAGATAGGGCAGTGTTCATCAAGCTTTGGAATGTTGAAGGAGCGTTTTTTAGCCCCAAAGGCATCCTTGTAAACTCAAAATGTCCTTGCGGTACGAAGAAGACAGTTTTAGGAGCGTCCTTTTTGGACATTCTTATCTGGTTCAAATCCGGAAGCAAGAAGTGCTAAAGTATTTGCATTTCCCTAACTGATCAAGAATTTCTGTAATGTTGGGTATCGGATAGGAATCTCCTATGGTGATGTCGTTCAGGCGACGGTAATCTATGACTACGCGCCACTTACGTTGCCCGGACGCATCGATCTTCTTTGGGACTATCCAAATAGGTGATGACCAAGGTGATGTCGAAGGTTTGATGATGCCGTCGTCAAGAATTTTATTTATTTGGCGTTCTACTTCTGACTTATGAATGTCAGTGAAGCGGTAAGACTTAGTGTTAATTGGTACAGAAGATGAAGTAGGGATTTCGTGTTGTAAGACGTTTGTGTTAGTTAATTTGTCGCCAGGAAAATGAAAAATATCGGAGTAAGTACTGCAAAGGTCGCATAGTGCTTCTTTCTCTTCTCTATTTAGGTGTGACAATCTGAAGAGATTTAGAGTTTGATCGGTGCGAGTAAGGGCTTTATTTCTAGAACCGTCTGAAGAAGTATAAAAGATTTGATAATTATATTTATTTTCGCTTTCAGAAGTATTTACAACGGAAATATTAATTCTTGAATTTGATTTCACTTTTACGATGCAGTTAGCTATTAGGAGCGAGTCTATGGGGTTCTGATCGAGAACAAGTCCTTCTTTAATGTCCGGATTTCTTACAGAACACTCTATGATAGTTTTACATCGAGGTGCAATAGTATAGACTGGCTTAGTGAAACAAAGCTCTATTTCATTTTTATTTACTTTTAAGGTGTTGTTGTCATAATTAATTTTGCAATTTAATTTGATAAGGAAGTCGCTACCAATGATTCCGTCATACGGCAAATCAAACACCGGAAGTACGTAGAAGTTATGTTGGTAAGAACAAAATTTAATTGGGATGTGACAAAGGGATGTAACAGAGTCATTTCCTATATCAATAATTTCTATAGTATTATTGTTTATTTCAGGCATCTTTTCCACAGCAGAATATTAAATAATACTGATAGCTGCGCCGGTATCGACGAGCAAGGATAAGGACTTCGACGAGACAGAAGTTTGAACTTTTATAAAAGGTAAGTATTTTTTTGATGGATTTGTAGAGATGTTATATATTTTAATATTGTTTTCTTTCTTTTCAGATGCAGGAGACGAAACACTCCTCGATATGACGCCGTTGATAGGCTGTTTGTTAATTGAAGTAGCATTATTAACTTTCAATCTGTCGATTTGGGGCTGGATACCCTGTCGGTTAGATTGAATTGGAATAGGAATAGAGAATGAGTGAAATGCTGTGTTATGGTTGGTAATGGGGTGAGTATCGGCTTTGCTATTTAGTCTTCCCGTGCGATACTGGACGGGAAACCTCGGCGTTTAAATGATGGTTGGTGTTATCGACATTTTGATCGTCTGCAATAGCAGCATTGATATGCTGATTACGATTTGGGAAAGTGTGAGGCGGTGGACCATTATTATTGTAGTTATTGCGATTAACATTATTATTAGTATAACTGTTTTGAGCGTTACCAAATCGTCGTCGATTATTAGCCTCGCGTTTGCGGCATGTTTCTAATGTATGACGGGGTATTTTACAATATCTGCACACTGGATAATCAGTTCTGAACATTGAAGAAGACCCAGTTGAATTATTAAAAGGCCTCTCTCGCGTAGTTGTTTGGTTTTGTTGAAAATTACGACTAGTAAAGCGTCTTTGGTTTGAATCCTGGGTATTTGTTTGACTAAGATGGCGTCGAGTCACCTGGAATATTTTTTCTTCAGACACAGCAAAATTTATAGCGTCATTGAGCGTATCGGGATCGCGGCATTGAACTACTGTTGATAGACGAGGATTTAAACCAACCACGAAAGTGTGTAACGCTAAGTCCTGCATTGCCGCGAGACGGTCTGCCTCCCTTCTCCCTTTTTTAGTAGGTATTGACATATTTATTTCTGTCAATAATTTAGACAAACGCGTCTCTATTCGCAGGGAATACTGGTTGACCGTTTCTTTATTGGACTGACGACATTCTTGTAGGTCTGAGAGCAGTGCAGCGTAATGTTCCCTGTCACCGAATTGGGATTTAAAAAGTCTTCTAACTGTGACCAAGATTCAAATATTTTAATCGAGCACGCACTTTCAGCGCGTCCTTCTAACTGACTAAGTATGTATTTTAAAAGAATATCCTGTTGTTGATCTGACGCGAGGTTCATAGCATTACTACAGTTATTAATAAACGGCATTAATTTTTCTCGGTTGCCGTCAAACTTACTTATAAATTTACAAAGAATATTAAGATCGATGATTGGTGTCGAAATAACCGGTGTAGGTTCATCTTTAGGCATTGTGACGGACGAAGATTAGTCAAAACAAAGATAAGGTACTCGGCGTTTCGCGTGGGCGCAGTAGCGATGCACTGGTCTCGAATACAAGCAATAGCACACAATTAAGATATAATGTTTAAAAGACACTTGATATACAATGAATTATATTAAAATGAATGAATGAAATTATAATTGAAATACGAATAAATTATTTAGATTTGACTGTTGAATAAATTAATTTATATATTTTGCAAAGTTTATAAAGTATTCAGTATTATTCACAATATTTAAAACTGTATCGTTATAATATTCGTATAAAGCTGGAGCGGACTTACAGGAACATGTCGGGTTTATGTACTTGTATTTTGATCGGGAATCAGGAACACAGCGACAGCGTTGAAAACAGCGAAAGTGTGCAGCACTGTTGACTTTGTAGCCTCGGTTTGCGGATGATGAGCAGATGCTGGGTGGTATTCTTCTTGTACTCTCTTTTCTTTTCTTCGGTTGTATGACTTCTAGCATCAATTTTCATGCAGCCAGGCGGGTGTCGTTCTCGGAAGTTCAGCGAAAAAACTAGTTTTAAGCGGTAAGTATTTACAGAGATCACAACACAAAATGTTACAGTTATTGCACAATTGAGTCCTCAGAGGCACCAAGGACCTTTTATAGATCCCACTGCTGCCACCAATGTTATACGGGGCTTCACGAAATGTCTTTTAAAAAAACTATTTAGAAATTGCACTGGATTTAATTATAGGAAGACACAAAATAAGAATTGAATTTTGAGAGGCGAGTGTTTCGGATGAGAGTGTATGACGGACTGACTGGTCTTGCTAGTATTGTAATAAGAAAGTACTGAAGCTACTGAGAGAGTGCTGACTGTGTGCTTTGTGTCAGCGGATCCCTAGTAAAAGGGGATCTATAACAGAGCGGTATTACAACACGTCGACAACTGCTGGTCGTCGCTGTAAAAGGTGTATTTAAAGGCGCTGCAAGTCGCGATCGAGGCAGTGTTCAATTTGACGAGACAAGCAAAATAAAGTGAATCAGTGTGATTAATTAGTAGTGTTTTATAAGTTTTAATTGGTGTTCGGTAATAAAAGTGTAAATTTTGGTAATTCAATCGGCAGTTTTTATTGTCACGAACCTCAAGCTCGTAACAATATATATATATATATATATATATATGCTGGTTCTAAAGGTTCTAAAGAAAGGTAGAGCTATTAAAAAACCAAAAATTATACTTTCCTACAATGAAGCAAAAAGTTCAGTCGATATGAGTGATAAAATGACTTCATATTCATCACCATTCAGAAAAACTGTGAAGTGGTACAAAAAGCTGGCCATTGAGCTTATTTTAAACACAGCGCTGGTGAATGCTTGGATTATGTATAAAGAGAACAAAAACACTAATCAGGGTATAGTGCAATTCAGGCGCCAGTTAGTCGAGTATCTTGTGGATTCAGGAGTCGATAAAGAAAATTGTGAACAGCAGCAGGAGAGACCTAAAAGAATGAAACACGAATTGCTGAAAAGAGAGGGACCTGTTGCTAAATTGAGACGTTTCTGCGTCGGTTGCTACAAAGAAAATGTTAAAAATCATGGGTCAAAAGTCGCTCGAAATAAAACTAAAAAAAGTAGTTACATACTGTAAGAACTGTCCTGGTAAAATATATTATTGCCTATAATGCTTAAATAAATCTCACCGTTATTTGTAAAGGTTTTTTTTTAATAATGTAGTAGCTAACTGTTCAATAGTTATTACAAATAAACACGATTAATAATGGATGCCTTTGTTTTTTCTTAATTGCTTTGCAATTTCACCCACATTTTCAACAAATTTACGATTACTCAAAAACCACACTGAAAGATTGGTCTACCAGCGCCATTCCGGTCACCTGCTTTAGAGAAATGTTCGGTAATAATGTCCTATGGCTCACAAATCAGTTTCAAACTTAGGTCTACCTTGAGGTCACTGATGCCCTACGCGGCGTCTCGGTCTAGTTCAGGTGAGGTCACCGGTGACCTACGCGGCAGAGAATGTGTTAAAAAACTTAGTTTATGTACCCCCATTCATATAATATAATTTTTTTTTCATAGGAAATCATTACATTTCTAATCAATGATTAAGTAAACTTAGTGGTTCTCCTTGTTGTAGAACTTATAGTTGTATAAATTTTATCTTGTGGATACGCATACTAAATACATATAATAATTACGCAGCTATATTAAACTGTACCGCTTTGCGTCTAAGAATAATCAATGTATTGCAATTTTAAAATAATTTTGCTTGTTCCTTACTCACTATATATTGCATTTACTTTTTCTTGCTTTTTCTTCATACTTTAATTTACTGCATTATTCATTTTCTGGCTGAATCAAAAACATTAATAAAAAAGCGAGCTTCTATCAAAGCTATGCTTACGCAATTTTCTTCTTATATAGCCCTGTCAAAGGTTTGTGAAAGGTTAAGTGAACAGCAGGTCATTGAAATTGAATATCGCCTAAATAGATTTGAAAACCTATACGATAAATACGATGCATTACAGAATGCACTGGAAGCGTTAGCGGATGCCCCCGACGAGCAATATATGGAGCGTGAAGAATTTGAAAAGTTGTATTATAATCTCACAGCTGCTGCTCGTCAACTTGTAAGCAACGCACGCAAACAGCTCACGAGTACCGAAGTTGCGTCAGAGGTAAGTTCTTGTAGTCGTACACACAAACATATTTCTGTTCGATTACCAAAAATTTAATTACCGAAATTTTCGGGAAGACTAGCTGGAGTTTAGGGAAACGTTTGTTTCCATAATTCGTAGCAATAACGACATGGACAAAATGTAAACAATATACATATAACAATAAGTGTCCTAGCCAGGACTCACACCTTTTGTACACTTGCTCAACTTTCCGTAAGCTTCCCGTAGAGTCGAGAATTAGAAAAGTACATGAGTTCAATGTATGTCATAACTGCCTTCGCCCAGGACATTTCGCTTCAAAATGCAGGTTAAGTAATCGTAAATATTGCCACAAGAACATTCAAACATTTTGCTTTACTGTTATGTGCGTGCCAAAGCGACTGTTGTTTGCAATATAATTTTAATATTTTCTGAATCAACAGAGTTTTTTGTAACTTTTGTATTTTTGATTTAGTTTTTTTTTTCTAATATTTTGCAAAATCTAATAATTTTTATTGAATATTCTTAACGCATTAAATGCATCTAAATAAAATACAAAAACCTTAATTGACATAGGCATATTTTTATCGATCGTTGATAAACAACCCTTATTTTTTATTAAACTTTCCATGTTTTTAAATAACCACTAAATATTAACTAGACAGAAAAATACTGGATGAAAATAAATCAGTTGACATATGTTGGACGCTACCTTTGCGGTCACTCGAGATGTTTTTCCTATACCAAAGTTCTAAGATGACAAACGCGTAACAGGTTTGAGTTTGGGGAGCGCGCGGAATGTCGTTTAATTTAATTATAGTAATTTAATTTAATTTATTAGATTCTTTTAATATGGATCTATTTAAAAAGTAATTTCTGATACATACATTCTTTATCAAATAAAGTTTCACGTGAAAAATACATAAGAAATTCAAGAAAATTTTATTTAGCTTGAAACAACCTTATTTAAGTATTTTCCCAGATCACTAATTATAAAGTGGCAATTAACATATACATAAGTATTCGAACACAATATGTGTTGGCAGTGAAAGAATGACGTGAAATTCCAAATGACAGAAACTAGGAGATGGGTAACAGCATCTTCCTAAAAACAACTAGATCCAAAGAAAAAGCTGTGGTTGTCAACCCACCTAGCAAAAATCGAAACAATGGCAAACACCATCTTATGAGGTTATCCATTGGATACGCCTATGTTCAGCAGTAGAATTGTGAAGGACTGTACTAATACGAATGAAGACGATAATTACATATTTGTATTATGTTTAACATATATTTTATCTTATTTATGATTTTTGTATATTACTAGCGGATACCTGGCGTGTGCTACGCTAAAAATGAAATATATTTTGTTTATTTGTAGGATAAAAAGGAAATTTTGTTTATTTATTAACTTTTTATATAGTGCCTAGTGTGTTGTTTTAGGGGTCTAAAATCATCTTGGTTCTGGATATATATATATATATATATATATATATATATATATATATATATATCTGGATATATATCATCTCATCTGGTTTGGGATATATCGATTGGACGGTTTCTAAGCCTATAATGGACACAGATAAAAACATTTTTGTGTTTTATAAAGATGTTGCATTTTTATATATGCTACAAAAATATTTCAATATTATAGAAATAATTTATTCATCAAAAAGAAAAAAATATAAAAAAACCCAAAATATACAATTTATCTAAAAAAAAAACTAATAATTCATAAAAAAGATTCAAATGTTTTGTAGGTTAAATATAAAATTTGTATGTTAAGAAAATTTGAGTTTAGGAGTATAAAATAAAGTCGGATCAAAGGTTTCTAAATGTCAATCTTTCAGAAAGTAATATAAAGCTAAGCTGTAAGCTTTCTGAAATAGGTTTGATAGCAGGATGCTTATGTGGAATACATTATAAACATAATATACTTTGTATTTATTTTAAAATTTTCTATGTAAAATCCGTTAGTAATAATCCCATCATTTAACTCGTTACAACTTATTTAAGTCCACTGCTGATGATAAGCCTACCTCATAGATTGTCTCATATATACGTATCAATTATTGACCATAGTTGCCACGCTTGGTACGTGGTACGGCTTTCGCAGCGTTTTATCTTATTATCTTACGTATGATATTAGCGTTTTTTCGTATTGACCACTTTGATCTAAAATATCTCCTCTTTGGTTCATCATCATCATCATCATCATCATTACAGCCCTTCACAAGTCCACTGCTGAGCATAGACCTCCCCAAGTGATGTCACAAAGCACGGTCCTGAGCTACCTGCATCCATCGACTACCTGCATGTCTTACCAGGTCGTCACTCCATCTAGTGGGGTTGTTGCCCAACACTACGCCTACCGGTACGAGGCTGCCACTCAAGAACCTTTCTTCCCCATCTGTTATCGGTTCTTCGAACTATATGAACGGCCCATTGCCACTTCAGCTTACTAATACGTTGGGCTATGTCGGTCACTCTGGTTTTTACTGCGGATATCCTCATTTCTGAGTCTATCACGCAGAGAAACTCCGAGCATAGCCCTTTCCATAGCTCGCTGAGTGACCTTGAGCGTCCTCATACGGCCAGCAGTGAAGGACCACGTCTCAGATCCGTAAGTCATCACTGGCAACACGCACTGGTTGTATACTTTATTTTTCAGAGATTGAGGTATACCTGACGAGAAGATGTATCGTAAATTCCCGAACGCTGCTCAACCGAGTTGAATCCGTCGATTGACCTCTCGGTCAAAGTTGGAATACCTAGTCGGACTATTTGTCCCAGGTAAACATACTCGTCAACAACTTCGAGCATAGTGCTCCCAACAACTACCGGCATAGGTGTGACATGGGCATTATACATGATCTTTGTTTTGTCCATGTTCTTTTTAAGACCTATTCGTTGGGAGACACCATTGAGGTTCCACCTCTTTGGTTAAGAATTCCCAATTCAAATTTATAAATTCGTTTAGCAGGTACATTTGAGTTTTGTAAATAGTCATTCATTTGTTTTTAATTATTTTTTTCTTTGGCGTCGCTTATTACCGGACAATGGAAAACCTGAAATATCGGTATATTTACGAGTACGAGTTTTACCATGCCACCAGTGTTGCAGAAACAGCTCAAGGTATTAATGATGCGTACGGCGCTGGTGTTTCAAAAGAAAGTACGGTACGTTTTTGGTTTTAACGTTTTCGTTCCGGAAATTTTGACCTTCAGAACCAACCCCGTGGACGGCCGGAGACCAGAGTGGAAAATAAAGAATCAAAGGCTATTGTGGAAGTTATTTTGGATCAAAAAGCACTTCAGAGATAGGTGCAGGCTTCGGAGTAAGTGATAACACTGTATTAATCCACTTTAAGCAAATCAGGAAAGTAAAAAAAACTTGAAAGATTGGTACCTCATACCTAGGTGGATTGAAAAGTACTCGGCCTAACACAGATCCATTCAATTCTAAAAATCAATTCTACCCACATTATTTAGTTCAGTTCAGACTAATTCATTGTGTGAAGTTCGAAACGTGTGCGATAATAAGTTGTGATTTTATAAATTTATTAACAAAGTAATCGGACATAATTTCCGCGAATGGAGCAAATCGAGCAGCGTGCCGTCATTAAGTACCTCCATAAGAAGGGGCTATCATCAAAAGCCATCCATGATGGCATGGTCAGTACATTAGGCGATTGTGCTCTGTCATATTCATCCGTCAAAAAATGGATAGCAGAATTTAAGCGTGGTAGAGAGAGTGTGAAAGATGAACCCCGCTCTGGAAGGCCTTCGACGTCAACTACTGACGAAAATATTAAAAAAAGTACTTGATTTAATAATGGGAGACCGCAGATTAAAAATTAGAGAGATAGCCGAGATTATAGGCATCTCTTATGAACGAACTCAAAACATCATTGTCAACGAGTTGGGTTTCCACAAGGTGTCTGCGAGGGGGGTTCCGCGACTGCTTTCAGTTG